CCAAACACCACATGTTCTCAATGATAAGTGGGAGCTAAGTGATGTGAACACATATAGGGGAAAAACACACCCTGGGCCCTAATGGAGGGTGGAGATTAGAAGGAGGGAGAGGATCAGGAAAAAACACTACTGGCTACCAGGCTTAATGCCTGTTGGAAATTAACGTTGAGCTCTAAAACTGTTTTCCATGGTGTTCAGATGTAACTTCCCCACGTCATACTACATGTTGTTTCCCGTGTTTTCATAAGATGTTGGATTGGGGGTGTTGCAAGCATTGGGAAAAGAAAACTGAGGTGGCTTAATGTTGCTGTGTTTCAGCAGTTGAATGTTTTTAGTATTTATCTGTGTTATTCTTTGTATGATTATTTGGGTAGTATTTAATATCATATAGTGCTCTGTCTGCTCCCAAAAAGATGTGTATTTAACCTAGGAAATAAATGTAACGTGTGGTAAATACGATGGGTCATGAAGGTGCAGTGAGACTGACTCCATCCTACATTCAGGGATAGGCCATCCCTGTCTGACAGTGAAAAGAGGCACTATCTTTACAGCATAGTACCACACAGGGCCAGAGCTTCCCTGAACCAGCTGGGGATTGTTACCTAGACCCAGTGTTGTTTATTGTTAAATCTTGTGGCTTGAAACATCTACTAATTGAATTGGATATCTTAGTCCAGGTTACTATTTTTGACATACATAATTGAATAAAATGCAGGATTTATATTTTAATTTTTTTAATTTACCACTTTATTTCAAGTTATCCTACCAAGCTCATGAAATATTTCACTATTTGTCATAAAAGTGAGGTTATGGCACATGCATTCTAAGATTTAATACATTGTTTCTAGGGGAGGTTGAAATATAGTATCCTGAATCTTAAATATTATAGAACTTTTAAACAATTTGGCTTAGTTGGAGAAGGCTGTGCTATATTTAAGGATGTTGTGTATTCTACATTACTCCTTAAGAAGCAGATTTTCAGGCTTGGTGTGGTGGCTCACGCCCATAATCCCAATACTTTGGGAGGCTGAGGCAGGAGGATTGCTTGGGGCCAGGAGTTTGAGACCAGCTCAGGCAACAGAGCAAGACCTGGGTTCTATGAAAAAAAAAATCAAAAAAGAAACACACTTCTGAGTTAATAGTGAGAAACATTTGATTCTGTTACATATCACACTAAGACTAATTGAAGACAAGGAAAATTGATTCTGGAGATAACAGAGACAAGCTAGACAGAGCACATTGATTTCTGATGTAACAGTCAGTGTTTGATGAAACTGTTTATAGAAAGTAAAGCCAAAGTGCCTTATTGTACTGAGATACCTTTTAATAACCCAACTGTTAGATGAATAAAGCTTTTTAAAAAATTCAAAGCAAATGTTACTAATCGTTTGGAGTCCGGACGTCCCAGTACACAGGGTTACTTCTAACATATAGAGCACATGCAGCCTTCTGATCAATGGAGACTGAGGGGACTGCCCCTGCTAGAGTTCAGTTCAGCCCCAGGACCCCATGGCAGCCCAAGGTCTTGGTTCATGCTGTGGAAACAATACAGAATTTGTTCACTCAGTAAACATTCACTAGGGGCTTATGATGCACCCGATCCTTGGGGTCTACAGAACACATCAAGCTGAAACCCTCTTACACAGTAGACCTTCAGTTATTCAAAGACTGCTCTTATTGTTTCACTAAAATATTGTCAGTCATTCTCAGGATAAACATCGCTAGTGCCTTTAACCAGTCCTCACTTATTGTGGTTTTCAGTTCCTTCATAATCCCACATTCATGGAAGGAAATGGGAGAAGGTGGGAGAGGGATTTGCAGTCACTGAATGGAAGTTGGGCTTCCAGTACCAAGGACTTTGGGAAGCAGCCCATACCGTTTCAAGGAGTGCACTGTAAATGCAGTAAATCACACAAGTGTTTGACATTGCAAAGTATACGAACTGTGAGTTTTTGTGGCTAGAGGATTCACTGGTATATTTATGAGGAAGTGAATGCTTTTGTGAGTCTTTTATCCTGCAGAGATACTTTGGGACCACATCAGGATGCATCACACTTACTGCTTCATCTTATTTCTCAAAATGGTTGTAGATTTTATGTGGTTACGTCACCCATTTTAAAAACAAAGCTAAATGTATTTCCTTTGACCATATTTGACCATATGGTCATATTTTCTATGATCAATATGTTATTTCCATATTTTCTCTGACCATAGGAAAATCTCAGGGCATCACCAGTCAAGTAAATTGTAGTTTTGACAAGCATCCACTGATACAGAATCATTGAATGCTAGAACTGGTCAGGGCTTTTTAAAGTCATCTATTCCAATGCTGATAATTTACAAAGAAAGGGCTGAGAATCATAGTTATTACATAACCTGCCCAAAGTCACAACGGTAGTTAAGTAGCCACATTGGGACTCATAACTCCATATCTTGAATTCTAGACCAGAACTCTCCATCCTAAAGCAGTTCCAGAGTTACTCTTTTTTATTATAATAATAAAAAATAATTTTTTATGCAGACTGGGTCTCACTGTGTTAGCCTGGACTCAAACTCCTGGCCTTAAGTGATCCATCTGCTTTGGCCTTCCAAATTGCTGAGATTATAGGCAAGAACCACCACACATCTGGTCTTTGGAGGGACTCTTGCTTTGTGTGTTTGGGCTGATCTTCCTTTGTAGTCAGTAAGATGTTCCTGCAGTGTAGCTTGGAATCTTTCTGCACAAATTCAGTGGATCCTGTGATTTTATTTTACATGTAATAAGATACATTACAAATAAATTTGCAATTAATAAGCTAGACAATTCACAGTTAGTAACCTACGGCCTAGAGGTTTTATTCCTTTATCCACACATGTTTATAAGGAAATGCTTGAAGAGTCGTCTAAATATGCAGATTCCTAACCATCCCCAAGAAAAAGGGAACCACTGGAAGGCAACTTGGGAGGGTGTGTGGGATTGTTCTGAGGTTGTGAAAGCCACTGAAATTCACACATAAGGGGGTAGAAAGAGGGAATCCTTTTGAGTACCTACAAGTGCAGGGTATAACTTGGTCTTCATTATGATGCACCACCTTTGGGGTCAGATAGAACTGGATTGAATCCTAGTTACATCTCTCATTACTACATGCTGGTGAATTTGTTTTCAAGTCCTCTGAGTCTCCGTTTTCTCATCTATAAAACATGGAGTTGTTATGAGGCTTACATAAGGTACATGTGTAAAAATGTAGACACAATGCCTGTAATTTTGTAAGTGTTCAATATATGGAGAGAGAAGTATTATTTTCCTTCATTTAATTTTTAGAGCAAATTTATAAAATTTGAGTTATTATTCATATTTCTTAGATGAACCAAACATGAGAAAGATTCCATAAATCCCCATAGTCACAAAGCAGTTTCCAGTACATTTACTTGGTAATTGCTAGTTAAAAGTAGCAATGGCCGGGACCAGTGGCTCACACCTGTAACCCCAGCACTTTGGGAGGCCGAGGTGGTGGACCACTTGAGGTCAGGAGTTAGAGACCAGCCTGACCAACATGGAGAAACCCAGCTCTCCTAAAAATACAAAATTAGCCAGGTGTGGTGGTGCATCCCTGTAATCCCAGCTGCTCAGGAGGCTGAGGCAAGAGAATGACTTGAACCCAGGAGGCTGAGGTTGTGGTGAGCCGAGATCATGCCATTGCACTCTAGCATGGGCAATAAGAGTGAGACTCCATCAACAAAGCAAAACAAAACAAGACAAAATGTACCAATGATTTTCACATTTAAAATCTTGTATTATGTGGTGGTTTTCTTTTTTCTTTTTTGAGATGGAATCTGTCTCTGTCACCCATGCTGAAGTACAGTGGTGTGATCTCGGCTCACTGCGACCTCTGCTTCCCAGTTTCAAGCAAGTCTCTTGCCTCAGCCTTCCTGAGTAGCTGGGACAGCAGGCGTGTGCCACATGCCCTGTGAATTTTTTGTATTTTTAGTAGAGACAGAGTTTTATCGTGTAAGCCAGGATGATCTTGATCTTCTGACCTCATCATCCACTCACCTCAGCCTCCCAAAGTGCTGAGTTACAGGATTGAGCCACCCTGGCCGGCCCAGTTTTCTTTTACATAAGCCTTTTCATTCGTTGAAACCATAGATTCTAAGTTGCTCTATCCAAGTGATAATTAGAAAAATGTGATGTACTTAGCCTATACATTTTAGGAAATTTCCCTTACTACTCTTGTTAGTTTGATTAAATATGTGTGTAATTAAAAAAAATGTAAACTGAATAATTATGTATTGAATCTATATATGTATTGAAAATGTAATTTGACATCACAGAGTATACTTAGTTCATGGCAATGCTTTCTCTGAAAGCAACTGCAGAAATTTACTCTCTCTTCTTTCTAGTTTGTAAGAACTCAGAGGCCACAGGGGAAAGGGAGTCCTTTGGATACCAGATAAGGCCTGAAGCAGATGTGGTTACAGTAATTTTAGTATAATTGATTGTAAGGTGCTGATCTCTAGGAACGTCATCACAGTGGAGATACCTGAAAGCTCCCAGCAGCCAGCAAGGAATGAAAGGTGGGGGCGGGGCTGCCAACAGGGTGGGGGTTAGTGAGCCAGGATCCTGGGCTCCCACATCACAATGGGGGTGGGGGCGCCTCGTGGAGGAGACTCTGTGCCTGATTGGTTCCTGGGCACCAGGTTGGAACTCTGGTGGTTGGTAGGGCAACCTCCTTCAGTTGGTAGAAAACACTGGAAGGAGGAACTCCCTCTGTGCTGTCTTCTCCGCAATCTCCGCTCTCAGGCTTGTTGTATCTAGACCCATTTTAAATCAAGCAGGTTCCCTTCAGACCAGTCATCTCAGGGGAGCAGCTGAGGCAGGGAGTGAGCTGTTAGTGGGGTGCAGCCCCCTAGTCAGGGGCTGGCCCTGCCAGCGTGCCTGTGTTTGAAAGAGGCGAAGTGCTGAACTGCAGACTGGGAGGCAAGGGAAGGTCCAAGTTGCTGGAGAGGAGCCAAGGTGCCCCATGGGGAACACGCTGAGCTGTTGTTTGCGCCCCAAAGTCAGCCGCAGGCGAGGTCTGCGTAGGTGGCCTGAGGATCTATCCTTCAGCTCTGACATCAATGAGGCGGTGGAAAGCAAAGGTGCAGGCCAAGACAGAAGGAACATGTCCAACACCAGTGCCAGACCCATTTGGGGCCCGAGCTGGCTGTGTGGGGTGGTGTCTGACAGCTGTGACATCTATGAGGCAGTGTCAAGCATAAGTGCAGAGCAAGGCAGAGAGGAGCAGAGGCCGGGCAGAGGGATCATGGTCCTCCCCAATGCCAGACCCAAGCAGAGCCAGCACAGAGTGCACTGGGCAGAACCGATCTGCAACTATGACATCAATGAGGGGGAGATGGTGGCGCCAGACCCTACTGCTGTGGCGCCTGCCCTGTGGGATTTGGGAGCCGGTGACGGCCATGACCTGCAGCACATCAGTGACCAAGAGATGCTCAAAGGTAAGGCAATGAATGATACTGTTTGCCCTCAGGCACACCTCTGGCTGACACTGATACCAGTTCTCACCCCTCGCCCCACCCCAGAGGCATCCACAGCCTGGGGCTCCTCCCTCCTGCCCCTAGCCAGCTTTCCCAGGCCCATGCACCAGGCAGGAGGACTGGCCCTGCCCCGTGCCTGCCCCCATCCTTCATTCTTTATCCCTGCTGCATCTGGTGGTTTCTTTCCTCCTCCCTACCCCAATGCCCAGTTCTGGCCCCTTTCTCAACCCCAGGCTGGCCAAAAGCTACGTTTTCCAAATAGAAAATGTATGCTACAGATTTCTTTGCTGTAGAGGAAGTGTCTCACAGCTCTTCTGTTTGGCTGGCCTCTTAATTTATTTAAACTTTAGAATAGTTAAGCTTCATGATGAATGTGACTTTATAGCTGCAAGGTATTATTCTCTCTGAATGTTCAAAACTGGTGAAAGAATGACCAAAGATAGTATGTGAATGAATTGTGCCTTTATACACAAAGCATGCAAGTACTTGTGAAAGCTTTTCCTTGTTTGGTGGTGTAAGGTAAGCCTCTGAGTGCTTTCACACACCAGGTAGCAGGTGGGTAGTGTAGGATGATGGCCCAGAATAGACTCTTCATATCATTTTTGGGGATTTATAACACATTTACAGGTATGTCTCATTTGACCCTGTCTCTACAAAAAATGGTTAAAAATTAGCCAGGTATGGTGGTTTGTACCCACAGTCCCGGCTGTAAGAGAATCTCTTGAGCCCAGGAGTTTGAGCCTTCAGTGAGTTAAGCTGGCTCCATCTCACCATTGCACCACTCCAGCCTGGGCAGCAGAGCGTGACTTTGTCTGCTTAAAAAATTGTTTTTGCCCAAAACAGCTCTTTGTTTTAAGACATTTGAAATATTGAGCCGGTGTCTGACCGCAGTAATTGACCACAGCATCTCTTACTGCTTGAGACTTTCCCTGAAATGTGCTGGTAATAGCAGCCTAGAGGAAGGTGGTTATATTTGATAAGTAGAGGGAGGAGGGCATATATGTGATTCATCTAAAAGTTGCATCTGTTTATTTAGGTGCAAGTTTGAGAAAGAAGTCCCAGCCCCAGCCTAGATTTATTCCACATGCATGGAGAGATTCTGTGATTTTTGCATTCTCCAGTAGAATTGGGACATTGGTGCCTTTATTTTCTTGACATTTATTACTGAAAGCTTTTCTCAAGACTGTTAAAAGTGATTAAAATGGTTATGTAGCTTTAAAAAGAATCTTTTTTACTCACCTCACTTATGACATTGCTTCCTCTTCTTCCTCTACAGGTATTGCTTCTGACCATCCGAGGGCAAGCACACTCTTCCTGAGAAAGTATCAAATGAGTGGTAAGACAATATTGTTTCTGCCTTCAGGGAAAGCCTAAAAATTTTCTGTCTTTTGTATTACAGAAAGTATTTAGAGAAACTCAGATATTAGTTAAAAATGTTCAACTTTTCATAGATTTACTTGTCTTATTTTCATATGTGATATAATTTCCTTTAGTTGTCACTGTTTAAGGAAACATACAGACTCTGTGTTTACCTATTTGGTGACATTTTTGCCAACACAATTAATCGGCCACATGAGTTAGTGTAGTAGTCACGGATTTATGCCTTTTTCTTCATACGTCTTTGCCATTTTTCCCTTGCTCTAAAGAGTACATTTTAATAATGAGTGTCAGGATTTAGGCCACAGCTTGGATTTAACTTGAGCAAATCAAAAGAATCCATTGTTCTAGATTGGATCTGTGATTTTGGCCTCCTTTTTCACAGTGCTCTAACCACTGTCACATCCAAGTCGATGCTACAACTTTTTTATCGGAATGTAATAGAAACGTAACATGCCCTGTGCTGTTTTCCGTATTGGCCTTAGTGTGTGAAGCTAGTGTAAAGTTTCCATATCCTGCCTGTTTTAGGATGAGAATTAGAACTGTAGGATTTTTCTGTACTGTTGCTTATGTTTCATAATGTTCTGTTTTCTTACTTTATTTTCAAAAAAGCCATACACCATGTTTTTCAGTTAATTTTAACAACAACAATAGAAGAACTGGGGGTTTTTAATTGTTTAAATTAAAAAAAATTTTAATTGATTTTTTTATATAGTGATAATCAGATTTATCTTGTTTTATGTAGTGATGATCAGATGATTAGCAACTACTTTTATTCTATGGTATTTTACTCTATCAGAATTGATTAGTTATATTTTTATTTTTAGTGCAAGGAAAGAGGAGAAGCTTTTGCCTGTATTCTGTAAGTAAGCTTTTGAAAAGTTAAGAAATTAATTGTTTAAATTAAAAGTCTATCTGCCATGATTCCTTAGAAATGTAACAGGGACCCAGTGCTGTTAGCATGATCCTTTTTTGGTGAATTTTCTAAATCTTTTCTGTTTTCCTAAGTGTCAGATTTATGCAGGAAAGTCTTTAACTTACTGTGCCCATTTTTAAGGCTGTCTGACATTTAAGTTAAATTTAAATAATTTGGTTGTGATATAAAGACCTGCCTTAAATATTTAATCTTTTAAAATCAAATAAAATTGAAAATAGCTAAGTCCATTTTCTTCAACACTTTCTGCTGACTCCATTTCAAAGCAGCTGAAAGCGTAGCACCCTCACTCCACTGCGACCTTGTTTCCCTCCCGTTTCTTCCACCTGTAACACATTTTTAATTAAATCACGAATTGATATTTACATGATTATGACTCTGCACATATTATTCACTGCTGAGTCATATAATGTTCTGAGTGTGCCTCCTCCTTGTACATCATTCTTTCTCTTAAATATTTCTGAAAGCTGAACACTTCTGCATTTCTCCCAGGTAACCTCCCTTTTCCTAGCCCATGATTGCTCATAAAGCCAAATGTGACCACTAGCCTCCCGCTGGTCTCTTTGTTTTCACATCCTTCATTTTTGTGTGTGTGGAAGTGATTTTCTGACTATGTTCCTTTGGCTCTCTAACAACTATTCTTCCCCAAGAGTTGTAACATTTGTCACATGTCTATCAAAAATATGTTTTATCTACTAAAAAAATACATTCCATGTTTTTTTCTTGAAGCAAGTTTCCTTGGCCTTTTGTTATCCTCCTCAGGATAGACTGTGTTTTCCTAGGCTGCCCTGCACCTGTTGGCCTGGGAGCTCTCTCTGACATCTTCTGGGACCACTAATGTTGGGTCCCTGAGTCCTAGACTGTGCATTGCCCTCTGCCTTGCGTGACTCCCCAGTGGTGCTGGAGCGCAGTTTCTGAGGAAAGGCTCAGGTACACACATGTTTAGAGATCTGGGCTTTCTTAAAACCCCTCCTTTGACATAGAGTATAGAATTCTAGAGTGAAAACTGTCATGGCTTGAAGACATTTTTCTATTGCATTTTTATTATACTGTTTTTGAAAGTATTGCCATTGTGTGATACGTCATATGTAATCAATGTTTCCATCTGTCAAGTTTTTAAGAGCTTCTCTATCCCTGAGATTCTGAAATTGTATCACAGGGCTTGGTAGGGACCTTTTATTTTATTGTGGCCATTAAGTCTACAATAAAATTTAGAGAATTTTTCTGTGTGCTCTATTTTATTATTATTATTTTAGTCTAATGATTCAGATGTTGGACCTCTTAGACCAGTATTTCTGCATTGGTCTGTAATTTCTTCACCTCTGATTTTCCAGTTTGTCTTTTGTTCTGTTTCTTAGAGATTCTTTGGCTGTCCATGCTAACTGTTCTATTGAATTTAAAAAAATCTCCTTAAGGGTGTTTTAAGATTTTCAGAAAAGTTTTGCTCCTGAATTTTTACTGGTCCCAGGAACTCCTCATTCCTGTTGTTTTGATCCTGCATTGGAGGCTTTGCTCAATGTGTGGTGGTCTTTGGCTTTCTCTCATTGAAAGCAGGACCTTTATTTCACTGAGGGGTCTCACTGTAGGGATTTGGATGTCAAGGCAGCTTTTCCTTTGAGGGACATCAGTGTATTATATGAGGGAATGAGGGTATTTTCTTTGCCATAGTTCAGTTTTCTTCCAAGAAGGGCCTCCCAATTTTCTGCCTGGGCAGTGCAAGCATGGCTGCTGGCTTTCCAGAAGCAGGGCTGGGAAGCAAGGTGGAGTTTCACTTTGTGTGTGCCATTTACTCCCATTTCCCAGGTTTCAGCCCTGGTAGGTCTGAGCTCAGAAACCTTCAGGTATAATATATCCAGAGAATCTACATCCACTTTCCTTATAAGATGGGAGGACAGGTGGACCTGGGTTCTAACCACAGATTTACTATTGACCTTGCCGGCTCTGTTGTATGTTTCACCCTACCTTCCCGGGTACCATGTGCTCTGATTTTGGAGACTGTGTTGGGTTCTTCAAAATACATAGGATTGCTTGTTTCTGTTCAGGTCACTTCTTGTGGGCACCAGGGTTGTGCTTTCATGTCAGTTACCACTCCTCTATCTGCTTGTCACCTTGCGACATTGACTCAGAATCATCTGCTGTCAATCCTGTCTCCTGGTCCTGTGTATAATGTTTATTTTATGACTAATTCTCTTGAGATTTCAGAAGGAAGAGAAAATAAATTTGTGGTCAATCCATCATATTTAACTCAAATTTAGAACCTATATGTAAGTGTAAATCTAAGTTTAAATTGAACATAATTATGACATTAATTCAGACAATTTTCTAGTTATACCTATAATAAGCATATTATACTTTTCCACTCAGGCCTTGTGTAATAATTCTATTCAAACTCCATACCTGCCATGTGGTCCCATTGCTGTGCAACATAGATGGGGCTGATTTTGTTAGCACGCAAAGTATTGGAAATTTTCAAGTTAGCTAAAAGTCATTAATTATTTTAAAAACATCTAAAACATGTCTTATAAAAAAGTGGGGAGAAAAAAGTGATCTTGAGGGCCGGGTGTGGTGGCTCATGCCTGTAATCCCAGCACTTTGGGAGGCTGAGGCAGGGGGATCTCTTGAGGCCAGGAGTTTGAGACCAGCCTGGCCAACATGGTGAAACCTCGTCTCTACTAAAAATACAAAAACTAGCCAGGCATGGTGGCACACACCTGTAATCCCAGCTACACGGGAGGCTGAGCCAGGAGAATTGCTTGAACTTGGAGGTGGAGGCCACAGTGAGTGATAGGAAATTTTAAATTAAAAAAATGGGGACAGATATCACCTAAAGCTGTACCAACTAGTCTGTATTTTGGTGCATTTTTCCTGTTATTTTTATTCTCATATATGGAATTTTCCTCAGAATTGACTTTTGTTATGTTAAAGTATTATGCTGCATTACCCCTAATAGTAGTGACCTTAAGGGATACCTTCTTTCCCTTTGAATGAAAGTACCTGAATGAGTCCATTTTTATTTTTTATGCCATATTTTTTTTAGACAATAAAAGTGTATACATTGACACACATACACTGTTAATGTAAACTATAACATAATGGCTTAAGAAACATAAGAGTTTAGCTAGAGTTAAAACATTTCTATCTTAAAGGGTAATTTGGTCCTTCAAATAGTAATATTGTTCAAAAACGTCTTGGATGTTCTTAAGAAAGAAGTGAATTTGCATTAAAAGCATCTGAAGCAGCAAAATGCTGTTGGACTCTATGGATATTTCCGATTATTGGCTACTGGCAGTGTTCACATGCAGTGTAGTTTTATAAACAACCACTAGATCTTCTCACTACTCTGCCTTTTTTTTTCATACTAGCTCATTAGTAGATCCAAACCTGTTCTGTCTTTAATGCGTTTGTGAGAGACCCTGATGGAAGAGTGTGAAAACATGATGCAAACAGGCTTATTAAGAGGAGGAAGGAAGGCCCATCTGAGTTAGTTTTTTTTCCAGTTAAAATAATGGGTATTTTGTGGTTTTAAATAATGCTGTTGATCTTTTCAACTATTTGGTGACTGGCATTTGGCTACTGGGATTATTTTTAAGGAAGAGCACTTTCTCTCTCTCTCTCTCTTTCTCTTTCTTTTTTTTTAAATTTGAGATGGAGTCCTGCTCTGTCACCCAGGCTGGAGTGCAGTGGCACAGTCTCAGCTCACTGCAACCTCCACCTCCAGGATTCAAGCAATTCTCTGCCTTAGCCTCGTGAATAGCTGGGATTACAGCCACCCAACACCATGCCTGGCTAATTTTTGTATTTTTAGTAGAGATGGGGTTTCACCATCTTGTCCAGGCTGGTCTCAAACTCCTGACCGTGTGATCCACTCACCTCAGCCTCCCAAAGTGCTGGGATTACAGGAGTAAACCACCTCACCTGGCCAGGAGGAACATTTACTTAACATAGTTGAGGCAGTTTCCGTATTGACTATTGCACTCTCAACAAATGAATAGACACTTTGAAAGTGTTTTAGAGATAGTTTATTATCTACAGGACTCAAAAGGTTCATTGTCATATCTCTGATAGCACTGTGGATGAATTTTCATGGATTTGTATCTGTAGGAAGATTTACTTTCCAAATTGTAACTGATTTAGTATTTGTCAAGCTCTTATTGAACTCCTTAATTTCTGCCACATTCTGTGCTCAGCAGCTGCAGGTAGGAGAGAAGGGGCCCTCCTTCCCCTGGAGAGGCTCACTTTCTCATGAGGGGGATGCTCTGCAGGCAATTGTATCATGTAACACACGGTGAATTACACTGATGAATACACAAAACCAGAAACGTTTTGTGGTGTGGCTGCCGGCAAAGGGATCCCAGAAGGTGGATGAGGTCAAGCTTGCTGGGACAACGGGAAAAGGAATAAATATTCCAGACAGAGAGCAGCACGAGTGAGGCAGGAATGTGCCATAATGTGCATCAAATAACTTAAAGAATCAAATCAATTAACTTTTGAAATGAATGCAGAGTATTCTCAGAAGTTCTCATTTGAGTAGTGTAATAGCAGTCTTATATAAACATGAAGTGAAAGTTGTTTTCATCATTTGGTTTTTGGATGTGAGAGTCTTAAAGCAGTGCTTTTTCCATCCTCCCACAAGGAAACATGCCCAGGGAGACCTATGGCCCTCACTTGTTTGGTGACTGAGCAGCTCTGGCACACACAGTCTCTGACTCTGACACACTGGTTCCATCACACTCTCTCTTGAATGCACACACTTAGGATTAGTAACTTAGGAAATGTACTATTAGATCTTCATTTACCGCAATCAAATGCTCTTGTGTCAATATTATTTAATGTATGACATTTTGTTGTAGTTAATGAAACAGAAAATCTCAGTGCTTTTTACTGCATAAGAAAAAAACATGAAATCCCATTTTAAATGTTTCCCATTATTTATAAAGGGAATTTATAATAGAGGCTTGCCAGGTTTGATGATCCGTGTCATATCAGCATTTTATAACCCATTTCTCAAACATCATCTGTGAAAGTTAAGAGCCTTCAATGAGTTTCGCATAGAGCTGCACATGATACCACACTCAGGCAGGTCACGGGGTATAAAAAATACCTTAACGCTTTTGACATTTTGACAAAGGGAAAAAACGCACACTTTTGTAAGTCCAGCCTACTGTGATATTTTTCTCTATCTTCCTTCTTCCTCAGATACCTCCTTGGCATCTTGATAGAAAATACAGCTCGTGTTCCACCATATTGCTAGATAACAGCACAGTCAGCGAGCCTGATCTCAGGCACACATTAGAAAGGTGAGTACAACGAGGCTGCCAAGGGCTGAGTGACAGACCCCCTATGCTAAAAGCATCCTGGCCATCCGCTGTTATTTCAGCCATTTGGTTGCCCTTTTCAGCAAGCAGTTGAAGAAGCTGATGTCAATGATATATGGATTTTTCAGGACCTAAGTATGAATTTTCTGTTTCTCTTCTAATCTTAGACACTGCGTGGTAAAAGGGAAAGCCAGTTAGCAAATAAGCAATCCCAGAAAAAGCATGGCTATTTATTTGATGCATTTATGTTATGACAGTATTGAACCTAATGGACAGGAGAGGTGCTTTTTATTGGATGTTTCTAGGAAAAATTATTAGTTCTTTATGGGCCATAGGCCTAAGACGATGGGCACTACTTTGGAAACTACTCTTGGAAGAAGGAACAGCTTGTCCTCCACTGGCACCATGGTGTATCTACATTTAAATTTTCCCGTAATGCACCAGCACTTCATAGGCCACAATCAGAGATGCCCTTTCAAAACACCCTTGAAAGATGGGTTCAAGTTGGTTTAAAAAGCCAGCTCCAATGGAGATGTCCAGGAAACATTATTAACATTTCCTTCGATTATGAGTGTTGATTTTCAGAAAACAGTTTGACAAGTGGTACCACAGAATGTTAATCTCCTTATCCCTAACTTGACTTTCCAGTCTATACATATGACTAAGTTACAAGCTTAATTTTGTCTTAATGTACTAGTTTTTAAGCTAATTTGTCAGTAACTTCTACTTTAATCAAAAATGGCAGTTTATACTCATAATAATGTGACTTTCCTCTCTCATGTATAACAATAATTGAGATCCAATTGTGTTTCAGCAAGAACTGGACTCCACTTGTGTCTAAAGCCCTGAGCTTTGACCTCTATGGTGTCATCACTTAATGTTTGTATTCAGTCCTACGTAAAAAGCCACCCTTTTTTGGATAGAGTCCCTGGCTTCTGATTTCAAAAGATTCTAATATTTCAGTATACACTTCAAAAGTAGTTTTAAAGCTGACCCTTGTTCAAACAAGTAAAAGTCCTGCTTTTTCTTCCAGCGTAGTCTAAATTTTACAAGTTTTTTAAAAAATTGAAATAGATATATTTTCTTTTTTGGAGAGGGGTTTTGCTGCGTTGGCCAGGCTGGATTCAAACTCCTGGGCTTAAGCAATACACTCAAGTCAGCTCCCAAAATGCTGTGATTACAGGCATAAGCTACCATGCCTGGACTAGAAGTCTATTTTTGAAGCACAGTAAGTTTTAATTTACTCTCCAGTTTTATAGGGCATTATTTGGTATATTTGCTTTTAATGAAATAAAGGTTCACTGAGCAAGTTAATATAGCAAATTGGCTTTTAGGAAAGATTTTGAAAAATGTATTTCATGGTTAGTAGAGCGTTGTTCTCAATGGAAGAAGTGAGCCGTATTAGAATCACTTACACTGTTTGTTCAAAATCTATGTCTGCAAACACATGCATCTTCCCAGCTCCACCTTCCCTCCATCTCTGGGCACTCACAAGCCTTTTAGGAAAATGGGGAAGTATGTGAGACATCATTACAGGGATAAAAGCATCCCAGATGATTCTGATCTTAACCCTAATTCAGTCATTCCCAAACTTTGCTATACACATTGGAATCACCTGGGGAACTTTACCAACAACTCTGATGCCCAAAGCATATCCAACGCCAATTAAATCAGAATGTCTCCAGCTGACATTGAGGCCCTGTGTAAAGCTCCCCGGGTGATCCAGTGTGCAGCAAATGTGAAGCAGTGGAGGCCACTGCTTCCTTTGTGTGAAAAAGTGATGGTTCTAATATAAAAATTACATGTTTACCCTGTTATTTGCTCGTCTTTCCACCCATAAAGCCTTTCATCTGTGCGAGTCATTTCTATCAATGTGTGCATATGCTTCAATTTATACCATGCCATAGTGTTTTGTGAACACCTGCAGTTCACAGGAACACTGTCCGGGGACCTTGGGCAAATCAGTTTTAAGCCTTGGTTCTCTTAATTGTAAAATGGGTGGTGCATGGAGTGTCATGTGAGGTTCGGTGGTCCTTGTCAGCATGTAACTTCAAATTTTGTGATCTTAAAATTTGGAGATGAAACTGTTGGAAGCACTATAGAAATATCTATCTTAGATGCTAATAACGTTGTAAGGCCTACCTTTTACAACTCCAATTTGCCTTCTCAAATTATTCTGAGCCTCATTTTAAATGTTGAGGGTGAATGGAAGGACAGAACTTATCAAAGAGAAACCCGTTTCCTGACACACAACATCTGTGGATGACTTTGGAACACAGTAACATACATCCGAAGAGTTGTATTTGTTCATTCACATTTTGTTTAAACTAATGTGGAAGTACCTGTCATTAATATTATATGATGTGGTGTTACACTGTGTGTTTAGTACTGCTTATTTTAGGAGAGTTAGAAGTGTTATCGATTTTTGGATGCATTATAATGTTTACTAATAAATTTTCTGCTAATCATGCATAGGTGATTTTAAATTACTTTATTTGGTATAAAGCACATTCATTCTGTGCTTTTAGGGAAATAATGACAAATGGGTGAGTAGTTGATGGTGAACTAAATCAGCTGCAATGCAGGGCCTAGCCACTTAAAAAGCAAAACACTACTGTCTGGCCTAAATGTAAGCATATGTACACATAGATATAAGTAACTTGCACAGAATGAAAGGTTCTATGGGCAGAAGAGCAAATGTCAGGGAAAGTATGTCATTATTTATACATAATAACCATCTGCAGACACAAGTCTTCTAACAGCATATTGCCTAGCATTTTTGTTCTCCCATTTTTGCTGTAAAGCCAGAGGACTAAAACAAAAGTGCTCACATGGTACTGTTTTGAATAGAGGATTTCAGGGCCCCTGAGAGGGTTCCATCCCTCCCCGCTTTAGAAATATATCTTCAGGCCTAACAAATGATAAAATCAGTTCTTACAATTTTTTTTTTCCCTCCACAGTGTGACTTTGGCAATATATTACAACATAAAGCACAGGTGAGCTCTTTGAAACCTGTCTTGTTATGTCAGCTCATCACTTTGTGTCATATGAAACATGCTGTCAGGTCACAACTCTAGACATTATAAGCTGTAGAGTGCTTATTTTACAGTGTTACAGTGAATCATTTGTGGGTTTTCTGGTCCATAAGACTCTTTTAAATTATTAAGTGTTCCAAAGTGTATTTGTTTATGTCTTTGTTTGCAATTTATTTGTAAAGAAGCAGTGAAAAGATGCCCTAGCCTCACGCAAATATATAGTAGGAAAAAGATGTATTTTTAAAGCTTTCAGGTAACTGTGGGTATTCTTTAACCCCACCAAAACTCCAGAAGTGCTAACTGATTAAAATAGCTGTAGTGGGATTGTACATATCAATGAATTCATTCACTAATACTCACTGATCTTCCTTGTACAATAAATGGATCTTTCCCCTTACTGGCCTTTACAATATTATGCATTGGCTACTTGGTTTATTTATAGTGTCAAAAACTCACTTTTGTTAGTATCATCACCATTATAAAACTGTTTTCAAATATGGAGATGCTGTTCAAGCTCACAGTAGTAGGTATGAGTTTTCAAAGTCCTGATTTTTAGCTTGAAAGTTTTAGCTTTACTATAGACAAATACTTGTTATTTTCCTTGAAATGACAGACTCACTTGACTTAATTTTATGGCTAATAGTCAGTTATACTTTCAGCTAAAAATGGCGTTCTGTGAAAAATTGGCTTGTTCAGCTCACAATTTAATCACAAGTGCTTTTCTTTAACATGACCATACTTCAGTATGCAGAAGTGCTTTATGTGAACTTTCTACTTAGAATACTAAAAAGAGAGGTCAAGATTTAATAACACCATTAATTTTTACTCTTTCATCAAGGACATTCTTCAGGGAAACATGCTACCTTAATAAAAACTGCAAGGGGCAGTGAAGAGTGGAATGAATACTGGTATAATTGGTACCACTGCCCTTATTCATACTGAGAAACCACCAGTTTTACCCACTTTTGCTTTTAAACAGTCATGACAAGTGTTGAACAGGGAGAAAGCAATCAATGTCTTAATACTTTTAAAAAGTAATAAATTATTTGTGTGTTTTATTTTCAATCAGCTTCTCAGGTTGAATTAGGATTCTTGTAAGAACAGTTTGGGCCATACATGGTGGTTGACACCTGTAATCCCAGCACTTTGGGAGGCCAAGGTGGGAGAATTACTTTGAATCAGGTGTTTGAGATCAGCCTGGGCAATGTGGTAAGACCCCATCTATCAAAAAAATATATATATATCAGCTGGGAATGTTGGTGTAGACATTTTTTCCCAGCTACTTGGGAGGCTGAGGCAGGAGGATTGCTTGAGCCCACGAAGTCAAGCCTGCAGTGAGTCAGGTTTGTACCACTGTGCTCCATCCTGGGTGAAAGAGCAAAACCCTGTAACAACAACAACAACAACAACGACAACAACCAGTTTCGACATCCTGGGTCTCCGAGGGAATCTCAGGGGTCCACAAACCACATTGGGAGAACCACTGGTTTCCTAAATGATCACACAATGTGTTAGTTTTTAAAGTCATTAAAGACTGGCCTCTTTTAAAATAAAAAGGCAATTAAGTCTGTAACTCAAACGACTTCAGCAAACATAAAGTATAATAAAGAAAGATTTGGGAAATCTTAATTGATTCTAAAAAGTTCTAAAATCTTTATTGCCAACAGCTACTGCTTTCTAAAATGTTCTTGTGTTCCACCATGAGGTTAGAGGAGTAAAAATAGATATAGCTTATTACCATTCCCTGTTAGCCGGAGTCAGTATTTAAAGGCAAGTCTGGCTCATCAATGTAGAAAAGACTTCCCAGTTCAGAACGTGATGTGCTGACGAAAAAGAGGTCAAGAAACCCTCTGAAGGCCAGGATCCAGGAGAAAAATTGGCAACAACTGTTTTGGTGAACAAATTTTACCAAAGCAAACAAGAAGTATCTCCCTCCACCCTCCATGCCCTGCTCCCAGTAGATACTTTACTAAGATATTAACAATTCCTGAATTAATTTCTTAAATGCACATTCTTCTTTTATAGATATGGAAATAGATCTCTGGCTATTTTTGATAAGCCAATACATCCACTTTCAGTAAGTGTCACTTTCTCTGAGGTTCTGTTTATGTCTTATAGAGTTGTGTTTATTTCATGATGAAGTCAAAATCATCCACCATTAAGTCTTCACTAAGTTGTGTCTAATCATCTTACGTAAGGAGTGTTGTAAATTGGACACACTGGAGTAAGAACTGACTTACAGCTTTGTTTAATTTGTGCCCTAAAGGGAATAAATATACCATCCAAGTAACAAAATGTGTCATTTTAAAAGATAATTTTTTATAGCAGCAAACAATATAAATATTTGTAAGTAGTCCTAACAAATATGCACAAACTCTGTGAATAGAATTAGAAAACAATTTAAAGTTAAATTTGTTTAAATGCTATAAAAACTTCCTTCTTCAGGCATATGAGAGCCACAGGGCCACCTTAGCACCTATGTTCACAGAAAACCAAAAATATTTTAAGATCCTACTGTTTATATTTTTAGAACTAAAAGACATTTTATCCCAGCAAAATTATTGTAAGGGACACGTGGGCACAAATTTGAACATTCCCATCTTAAGAGTACTTAAGAAGTTTTCTTGAATGAATATTTATATTGCCTTTTTTCTTCTTTCAGCAAGAAAAGATTCCAGGGAAATCCTTTGAGGATGATCCCAAACGCAACTGCATTTTCAGATATTTCTGTACTCTTTTTAAAGTCACAAAACTAACAGCTCCAGGTGCAATCGTAGCATTGGTAAGCTATTTCTTATCTATAAAGCATCTTTAATAACTGGTCTCCTACACAGCATATGGCCATGTTTCTAAATAAGTCAGTTCCTAAAGTTATCATCAGATCTTTTAAGAGAAACCTATGCAAGCAAAGTAAATACACATATTAGAGTTTAATCATCATCATGTTTTCAAATGATGCCATTGCTTTTCTTATCACAGAATAATTGCTACTAAAAGCAGCAGGAGAGACTTCTGGTTTCTCCCTCAACAGATTCCAATGTAGGTCTAAGCTGAGTTCCGGGCTGTGTTTCCCCACAGTTCTGACCTGGAGCTGCTGCTCCGAATGCTTTGTTGTTCCTGGTGACCTCTTGTGCCTGCTCCGGAAATTGCCCAGGCATGTGGAACCAGTAAGACTTGGACATGGGCTTTGCTAGTTAGCCTGCCAAGCCATGGCTGTGTCCTTACCTCTACATGGTTCTCACAGAATTCCTGTGGTGAGACTCATTCTGAATATAAAGTCCTGTTCAGATGGCTGGGATTGTTTGACCCCTCCCCACACTAACCTGTAGAGGAGTGTCAACCACACGGCCTGGAGAGAAAGGACACTTAGAGCAGTACCCTCTCCTTTAGCATCCGGCTAGAGCTCAGGGTCGAAGGCTTCTGCTGGGCACCTGCATAGAAACCTCTCCGTGAGCACTGGATCAGATGCAGGCCATTTCATGGAGCTGCAGCCATTGGGAATGCTCAGCACATGCTGGAGGGAAGCAGGAGTGGTACTTCCAGATGGAGAGAGAGAGAGCTGATGCAGGAGGGAAAGCTGGATTGGAAGAAGGGGGAGTTCACTGTATACAGGCTAAATTTGGTGTGCCTGTGAGATAGCAGAGTGACGTGTGCAGTCATTATGTGAATCTATGGAACTGGAGCATGAATCTGAGCAGTGCAGTCATGATTTGGATCTATGGGACTGGAGCATGAATCTGAGCTGGAGGTAAAGAATGAAGAGTAAGAGTAGCTGCTCAAGGCGAGGCACGAAGGCTCACACCTGTAATCCCAGCTCTTTGGGAGACCAAGTTGGGCAGATCACCTGAGGTCAGGAGTTCGAGGTCAGCCTGGCCAACATGGTGAAACCCTGTCTCTTCTAAAAAATACAAAAAATTACCTCGGCATGGTGGTGGACACCTGTAATCCCAGCTACTTGGGAGGCTGAGGCAGGAGAATCTTTGGAGCATGGGAGGCAGAGGTTGCAGTGAGCCAAGATTGCACCACTGCCCTCCAGCCTGTACAACAACAGCAAAACTCTGGGAAGAAAAAAGAAAAAAAGAGTAGCTGCTCAAATGCAAAGAAAGTGTTTAGAATGAAAGTGGACAAGCCGGGCATGGTGGGAACATGTTTAGTCAAGGAAAAAAGAAAAGATGGACAAAAGTTAGCTCTGTAAAGCCTACCTGCATGTGAGGGACAAGCCCCCAGTAAAGTGCCAGAGTGGGAGGAGGAAGAGCAGGAAAAAATGATAAGAACAAAGCGTTCACGAAAGGAGAGGCTGTGGTCACAGTGCCACATGCTGCCAAGAAGGTGCCCATTCCATAAACACCCCTGAGATGCCAACCCTGTGCCACTCTTCTAAGTGCTGGGGTAGATAAGAGGACAGGCCAACCACAGTCCTTGTCTTTATGAGTCATTTGTTTTAATGAGGAAAGCATTTCTTTTTTTAGGTAATGGCAAATAGCAAAATGATAAAGCAGGATACAGAGAGAGTGATGGGAGGGGCTCGCGCTCTCAGATAGAATGATCAGGAAGAGCCTCTCTAGAGAGGTCACATGTGAACAGTGACCTGACTACAAAGCAAGAATGATAAGGAGCTGACATTACAGGCAGTGGGATGAGTGCCAAGAGAGACAGGAACACATTTCATGTGTGTTCAAGGAACAGACAGCAGGGAGCCCGTGTGGTGAGAGAAATCAAGGAAAGAATGGAAAAGATGAGGCCGCACAGGCGGTGCCATCGCTCACAGGGCCCTTTGGCTTGCAGAGCAGGGGACGAAGTTAAGGTTTTATTCCAGTTTGAAGCGGGTACTAATGGTAGGTCTTGAGCAGGGGAGTGTAGTGTTCTTAATTTAGAGGTTATCCCAACTGCTTTGGGGAGAGTAGACCATAGTTGGGAGGAGGGTTGGGGCAGAGAAGAGGACTAAGAAGCAACTAGGCTGTTACAGGTGAGCCGTGACACATGGCGGCCCAGAATCTGAAGCAGTCAGCCTGCCAGTGAAGGTAGCCATAGAGGGATTGCACATGGATTGGAGGAGGGTAACTCACATGTAAGTATTAGTCCCCAGGAGCTAGGCCAATGGCAATTCCCTGGAGAAGATTAGGGCCAGGTTAGGGAGTGGAGCCTTGGGGTGAAAGGCTCTGGTTTGTGGGTGTGAAGGCTCCGGGGACCTCAGCAAGAGGAGCCTAGGGTGAGTGATGGGGGTGAGGGGTGGTTAAAGAGAGATGGGAGGTGAGCTGGCACCAGGGCATGACACTGTGAGCAAATGAGAAGATGTCCTGGGGGAGCTGGGGGAGCAGGATGGGAACAGGCAACACATTTGTATTGGGGAAAATCTCTGGCAGAGAGGGAGAAAGCCCTCAAGAAGAGGTGATTTGGGGAACAGTGTTCTGCAAAAGTGGGATAGGATCCATCATGCTGATAGAAGAGTCGGTGTTAAAAGAGGAGCTTTCTCACTGACTCAGGAGGGCAAGTGGTATCGATGAGTGTCAGCAGGTTACCAGCTTACCAGGAAAGGTGACAGGAAATTGAGGGCTCACCAGTGCTGTTTCAGTGCTCTCTAATGAGTCCTATGGAGTTGAACCCTGGGAAGGAGGGTTATTCCTTGGATACCAGACAGTGCAGAGTTTTAGAGAAAGGGAGCAGCATCTCTCATAAGAACATGTCAGGTTCAAGGGCCATGTGATTTGGAAAACACAGTTGACTTTGGAGAACATGGCCAGATCTGAGCCGCCAATCTGATAATGTTCAGACAATAAATGAGCTCTCTTAAAATGAACTGTTTTCCTTTCACCTTGATACAAAGACATCAAGTAGCATAGAGTCATACTCTTCTACAGAGCACTGTCTGAGGTAGCAACACCTCACAGCTTATCTCTGTAACCTTCACTCAGCTGGTCCCTCACCCAGTTCTTTAGAGGATAGAGATTGGATAAATAGAGAATACTTTCTGAAATACTTACTGAGATTATCTCACAAACTGCTTGACAGGTTTAGAGGCACCCCAAGGATACAGAGGCTGGCAGCTCTCTCTGCCTTCAAACCCACAGAATTGACTGAATGCAGATACTGTAGGACAAGAAATAAGTTTTTGTGAAGTGATTGTGGAGGCATGGAAAATAGGGGCTGTGAGCAGGACCCTCCATTCATTCACATGCGTTCCTCATCAAGGCACTGAATACAGGGACTGTTTCTCAGCAACAGAGACCTGCCCTTCTCATGGTATCTGCCTGGCAGGCACTGGCAGACACTCTTGACCTGCAGTTCCTAAGCCTGTGTCCCAAGGGCGGGTTAGTTATTGTGAAAAGGAGAAGACAGCAGTGTTCTCAGTATGACTTGGGTGCTACACATTCGAGCATGGCACACCTGTAAAATTCCTATCTGCCTGCCAGCCAGATGTCACGCTGCACACGGATGGCACTGTAGTGTTTCCTGAACAAACTTAATCTGCACGAGGCCTGTGTTTGTGCTGCCTTTCATGAGTGTGAAGGTGCTCAAGGTGCCTTTCTTCATGCTCACATCCCTGTGAATGAAATTGGCATGGAAATTTCTATGGGCAGAGTATGCTGCAGAGGTATCTGACTATGACTGTGACTTGGCCTCTCGCTTTGTCTGAGCAAAGTCCCTGCAGAACATAACAATAAAAGGCACTTACTTTATGGCCAAAACCGGAAGAAGTCTTTAATTCTTAAATGTTCTTATAACCGCACTGAAACAGAACTGAAATTAAAGACAAGTGCTCTATTTTGCAGGTGTACATTGAACGCCTTTTAACTAATGCTAACATCGATCTTTGTCCTACTAATTGGAAACAAATTGTTCTCGGAGCCATGCTTCTGGCCTCCAAGGTTTGGAGAAATTGTCATCTGTGGAGTGTGGATGACAGCCAGAATCCCAAGGATGTTGCAGCTGAGACAATGTGAGTTTCTAAGATTTTGGCAAACTGTGTCATCATTTTCCATGCCTCATTTGCTCTCCAAGTTATCACTGTAAGAAATATCTTTATAGGTGTATATATATCTTTCATTGTGCTGATAAAGGAAATAGGCATAAGACCACAGACTTCAATCTATCCAGCTTTGGTATAACAGTTTATATTTTCCAGCATTAATGGGTAAGTCTTGATGCGTTATTGTTGTAACAACTGGCTGATAAGCTGAAAAGTGTTTTTCTGATTGTATTTTGGCAAACCTCTTACAAGTGTGCTGTCAGAACGACACAGTACAGTAAATATCTTTGTAGCTTTCTAGAAGCTGCCTGCCATTTCAGTCCCCTTTGAAGGGGCAAACATCTGGCTTTGAAATAATTGGCCACTGTTAAGATCTCAAGGCCTCTGGACTATGCAAAAGTTACAGCTTTAACCTAAGTCACCCATTGTGTATTTGCTTTTGCTGGTCATTGTCTCCCCCTTTCATCTGAAGACCTGTTTTTATAGGAACCTTGAGATACAATGTTAAATAGCTACAGATTTCTGTGCCCTGGCTCCTCCCCATTGGGAACATTGCATGTGTTTGGAAATCGGTCTGATGAGTTAGAAGCTTCCGTGTTCAACCCCCCCCCAGTGTGAGAAGGATTTCTGGGGCATCACCCCATGCCCACTGCACTCACAGGCTCCCTGGGTACTCAGACATTCACAGATGCAGGCTGGGGCCAGTAGTTGTTTATGAGAGTGCAGGGAGCCTTGTGGGGTCATGGGGTTCCTCCCAGATGCACCAACATGACACTGAAACACAGCTTCCCCAGGGTTCCCTTCCAATTTGGCCTTATGACTGCTGTGAAGTGAAGGGCCCTGCAGCAGGCAGGCAGGGTGAGCAGGGGTGGCATTTCCAGCAGAGCTGCCCTGGGTGCCCGCTGGACAGTGAGGACAGCTGTGTCGGCTGCATCTGGTGCAAGACGAGGGAGCAGCTCTTGTTTACATTGAGCAGCAGCAGAAAAGATGATGTGAGGCAGTGGTACAAGTTAGTTTTGTGATCTGTGCCCGTGACTCCAGATAGGACCGTTACTCAGAATCACCTCAGTGTATGTCTGCAATTGAAGATATAGCATATATTGTAGATATACTGCAGTGTGTATATATCTACATTCAAAAATAACCACTTGGCACCTCAGTTCAGTGGCTCATGCCTGTGATCCCAGCCCTTCAGGAAGCCAAGGCGAGTGGATCGCTTGAGCACAGGAGTTCAGACCTGCTGGGTAACACAGTGAAGCCTGTCCATACAAAAACATTTTTTAAAAGTTAGCCAGGTGTGTTGGCAGGTGCCTGTAGTAGTCCCAGCTACTTGGGAGTCTGACCTGGGAGAATTGCCTGAGCCTGGTAAGTTTAGGCTGTAGTGAGCTGTGATCACGTGACTGCACTCCAGTCCTGGGTGATGGAGCCAGACTCTAAGACACAAACAAACAAACAAAAAACATTTTTGCCATTACTTTGCTAATAGTATAAACCAAGTGATCATTGTGATATTTATGGTAGCCATTTTAGCACAGAGTGTGACAGCAAATGAATTTGAAACAAATGAAGTACTTTGAAAGTTGCAAATGCTAACGTGAGTTTAATCGTAGTCATCCATTTGCAAACTGGTCCCTCAGAGGATGCAAGATTTGTGACTGCCTGATTTCTCCTTGCCTGCTGCCTAGCCAGAGCTGATTTATCAATACAGGATAATTGCAATAGAGAAAGAGTTGAATTCATGCAGAGACAGCTGTACGGGAGACCAGAGTTTTACTATTACTCAAATTAATCTCTCTCAAAACTCTGGGATGGTTTTTTAAAAGAATAATTTGGTGGGTAGGGGGTCAGAAAGTGGGGAGTGTGGATTGGTCAGGTCAGCGATGAAATCACAGGGAGTTGAAGCTGTCGACCTGCATTGAGTTGGCTCCTGGGTGGGGGCCACAGAACCAGATGAGCCATGTTTATTTGTTGGGGTGGTGCCACCTGATCCCAGTACAAGGTCTGCAAAATATCTCCAGCACTGATTTTAGGTTACACAATAGTGATGTTATTCCCAGGATCAATATGGGGAGGTTCAGATTCTTGCAGCCTTCAGCCTCATGATTCCTAAGCCACAATTTCATGACTTGTGGCAAATTTATTAGTTCTGGAAAGGTCATCTATCTAGTCCCCAGGTGGGAAAGGGGTTTGTTTTGGGAAAGCGTTGTTACCATCTTTGTTTCAAAGTTAAACTACAAACTAAGTTCCTTCCAAAGTTAGTTTGGCCTCTGCGTAGGAATGAACAAGGACAGCTTGCAGGTTAGAAGTGAGATGAAGTCAGATCAGCCCTCTTTCACTGTCATAATTTTCTCAGTTACAATTTTTGCAAAGGTGGTTTCAAATTTATAATCATGAACACTTAGTTCTGCCATTTTGGCAGCTGAATTGTTCTCAAAACCTGCAGCTAAGCTGGCTGGGGCTCTGATTTCTAGTCACAAGATCAGAGAGCATGCAGGGATATGTGCAGGTTTCCACAGAAGTGAGCTCCAGGAGCAGTGGAGGCAGAGGCCAGCCCCAAGAAGACCGGCTCCAAACAGAGCCGTTTGTGTGAAAGGAGAAACACCAGGAGCTATGCTCTGAACAGGCTGCTTCTGTTTATGATCTTGGGAAGCTGAAAAGCATTACATCCAAGCATTTAATAGACATGTGTCTCACCCTACTGCTGTTGACTGTTTGCAATGATCCCATTTTGAGTGTCAGTTTAACAGATAAAAAACTACTGTCCATTACATTTTTCTTAAAACTTTCCAACATCGATGTGTCTCCCTAGAATATATTTTCTTTCCAGAGAGTTAAACTGAGCAGCCACTATTCAGAAATGCTGTGTTGTAAAGGGTATGCTATTCAATCATCTAGCTGTTTAAAAAACCAGAACTCCCAGAAGATGCATAGTCTGTACACAGAATTCTTTTCTTCAGTGATTAGACCTCTATTAATAGATACGTTAATTCTGTGAAGTGCCATTCATTCCTGTAGTAAGTCAGGTCCTGATTAGCCATCTATTCAAATATTGTTTGATTTACATTTCTATAGACTTATGGACATGTGAATAGGAAATTAATTTTGGAAGTAAGTTCAGTTGGGTTTTAAGTTCAGCAGATGAGATCCCCACATCTTGACTTGTAGTCTAACTGTCCTCCGCTTTCAAGCATTTGCTTACTTAGCCAGTGGGTAAAATGTTAAAACTTTCAAACCAAGAAACCAAATATGTTGTTCAGATACTGATCATTTTTAAGCAATTAACTCATTACATGGGTTACTCTGAAAGCAGCCAGAATGACTCTAACTGTGTACCTATTAATTTAACTTTGGTGAGGGCAGCTGGATGACCGTGAGGCAGAGGACGGCTCCCAGTCCTTTCCTCTCCCATTGCATCCAACTCCCGCACATTCTGTTCTGTCCAGGGGTGACAGATGCTGAGTTCTTCAGGGTTGCATTCCCAACTCAAGAGCAGCACTGCGTGTGTTAAGGCCAGGGTCCTACTATAAATCACATTATAAAATGAGTTTAGTCTAGCCAAAATGTTTCTCCTTGACTTTTCTGCCTTTCAAATTGTAAATGTTATTCTTCCCCAGTCTCTTCATAATATTAAGGTGAGCAGAAACTTGCATTATGCCTCCTTGACATAGCCTAGTGCGCTGGAGCAGAGGAAAGGGGATTCTTTTTGCCATGGAATGTATCTTGCTTATGTATTTATTTGGGATGAATCCTCCTTGTAGCCTTAGAGTTTTTCCTCCTCTGTGGTGATAGGGTGGCTCTCTATGGGTCCATTTGTTGCCATGGTGATGTGCGCCATCTTCCTGTTGGTGCTTCTCTACTTCAGTAAGTACCTTCCTGTTATCATCCTGGTAAACATGCCTGGAGCTTCTTCAGAGCTAGTAACTGGTACCCATCATCCTGCCATCCGATTGTGATTGCGGGGTTTGTGAGTGAGCGTGGAGTCTGAGTTGTGCAGCTGCCCTAAGGGAACTGTGAAGAATAAGCCCTGAGTCAGCAGCAGGAGTGCAGAAGAGACTTCCACCTATCCCTCCTCCCAAACTTGGGGTGCTGGGATGCAGAAAAGACCCCAAGCAGCTGTGCCTTGTTTGAACATTAGTGTAAGGACCCAACCAGTCAGCCTTTATTTGTTTCAAAACAGAATTTGGATAATCGTAGTAGCTCAGAATGATATTTTTAAAGATAACCCACTTGACTAAAATTGCCCTGTGTTGGCTTTACTGTGTTTTTCCTCCCCCAGGAGTACGATGGAGAAGTGTTTTTTGGACCTACTTGAGTTTAATATTCACGTGTCTGCCACTGATTATACGAAATATTACTTTGACTTGCGTGCCTTGGCATACGACCATGACCTGTATTTTCATTTTAGTTTTCTTCACAAAGATAAAGCACAGAGATTGAAGGTAAGGCTGTGAAGTCACTTAGCGGAGTTTCCCATCGGCCACAAAAGCCAACATCTGTGACAAAATCATATTAAGTCGTGATTAGGAAAATGAAAGCCTTAAAATTAACAGACCAAAGTGCTTATTTATTTGGCATCATATTTCTTGTCTTTTATGTTTTATACAAGAATCCTTATTATTATTGTTATTATTATTTTATGAGAAGGAGTTTCACTCTTGTTGCCCAGACTGGAGTGCAATGACACGATCCCAGCTCACTGCAACCTCCGCATGCTGGGTCCAAGCAATTCCCCTACCTTTGCCTCCCGAGTAGCTGGGATAATGTGCATGCACCACCAGCCTGGATATTTTGTATTCTTATTAGAGACAGGATTTCTCCATGGTGGTCAGGCTGGTCTCGAACTCCTGACCTCAGGTGATCTGCCCGCCTTGGCCTCCCAAAATGCTGGGATTACAGGGATGAGCCACTGCACCCGGCCAAGGATCTATATTTTAAAAAATTATTGATATTCTCACTGCTTTGACCATAATTCAGAATATTTTTAATTAAATTTAATCTGTTCTTAATGGGTTTTGTTTTTAATTTCTACCCGTTCACATAACATTCGTGAATAAATGC